TGGCTAAGGGATGACGCATTGGATATATACCAGACAGAAGCAAGTTGCTCTCTGCGAAACCTGAATTAACTACGACCTCCAATTTTCTTGCCACGAATGAAAATTATGTCACCAATTCTTGCCGACGATTGTATATCTAAGTAAGTGTATTTTTAACCGTTGTCTTTACATCGACATTAGGGTGATCTTAGGTAATTTTTCACACCATGTGTTACATAATATTGGAGTTTCAAAACAGGTCCCTTACTTTTTGAACATTATATATTTCCTATGCTCTCTGGGGATTTTGCAGCTTAACAACAGCATAACTATTTTTCAAATTATACAAGTTTATTCCGAGCTTATTTAATCTAAATAAACAATGAAATCTTTCTTCTTTATTATTCGATTATTAGTATAGAAATACATTGTTTCAAAAATGCAGAAGAGAATAAAAACAACAATTGTAAGTTACCTCAAATCACATAATACTACCAGTACGAAATATTGAGAGAACTGAAAGCAAGTATTAATGAGCGCCGCGCACTTAACTAGATGAGCAGTGAGAACGGATAAAATTCACTTGTTCCATATTTTGTTTTAATTGGATAACACTTATTAACTACTGACTGTGACGTGAGTTGAAACTTTTCATTTTCTTACAATCTAGGATCGTATAAGTTGCAGAAAAAATAATCTAATACACTGAATGAAGTCTTTAAGTTTATGCATTAAGAAATAAGAAATTTACGTACCTACGTATTTTTTATAGAAACAAAATCGTTTCTGAGGTAATCTTCACGTAATTATAAAATGTCTCTGGCTTCTCAGTACAGTTAATACTTACAATTAATGGAAAATTTAAATAGTAGATTGTTCTGTACTACCTGATTCTTTTTATTACAATTATTTAAAAAAAATCGTTGCTCCTCCGGTAGTGAAAGTGCTCTCTCCGTACTCTATCGGATCGGATTTTTTCCTGTATCGTGGGTGCGGTTACAAACATACAAGTTCACATACAGAACAACAAATTGTGGATCACACAAAGAGTTGCTCCGTGCAGGAATCGAACCCGCGACACGTTGCACGGCAGCCAGTTGCCTAGCCACCGCACCAACCGTACAATCAGGATGATTGTCAGATTGTCAGAACAAAGTTATTATGGATGAAACAACAAGCGAAAACGGATCACTTGCTTCTCATGATGTACATATTTCGCATAAGTCCTTATTGTTAACTTCATAGAAGAAGAAGTTTGCTTGAGATATAAGAGAATCAGTAATGAGTCTATTAACAAGTTAAAAGTACATTAGCGGAATTAGTTACATTGTGCAGTATAAAGTTTTTAACATCTGAAAGGGTTTTATGTATGCACTTTGTTAGTATAAGTCGATTAACGAGTTACGACGAGATACGGATAACCTGATGGTAAGCAATCGGCGCCGGCCATGAACATCCAACACCAGAAGAGTCACGAATGCGTTGACTAACTGCTTTCAGAAAGGAGCTTTGTTGGGCCTTATGTTTGTTCCTTTTTGGTATCATAGGAAGGCAGACAAGTAGACGGATTACCTGGTGGTGATAAGCAATACGGTAATTTCCAACTAGTCAAATTCAATACTTTTATCTAAACGTCAAAAACGATACTTTTCTGTGATAATTGTATGAAAAACTGACCTATGACGTCATAGCATTTTTGCGTCAAGTAGCCTTACTTATTTATAAAAATTAGCTAAAAAAATCTAAAACTTAGTTTATCGATCGATCGATGAATAAAAGTACATATTATAGTTATTTTTCAATATTTTATTTTGACCTAGTAAACTACCTAATTTCCGCCACTCATGGTCACCAGAGGAGCTATGATCGATTTTCAGGATAAGAGTTTCGGATATGTAAGGATTGGATATGGAAGGGATGGAGGGAGGGTAGGAATTGGGTCTCCGTTAACCTCAATTACATAGCAAACACAACGTCAGTGTTGTTTCACATCGATTTTTTTTATTTTGGATGCCGTTGTACCTCTCCGGTCAATCTGACACATTAGTTAAAAGTGTAAATTCTCTTCTCAGTTCTCAGTAAATTTTCTTATACGGCACCGCGGCAACAACAATGAGGCACCACGGCCTTCGCTCAGAGCAGGAGAAGGAACGGGGGTTGTTAGTCGGTACGGCCCTGGGTAGAAGAAGACATTTGATGATTTTCCCCTCACAAAATAAGCCTTGTCTTTTGTGAGGGCAGGGATTTACTGAATTGTTTGTGGCGAACGATCACTCTCTTACACATCAAAATGTATCATAGGGAATGTTGCTCGGTTTCTAGCTAAACTTTTCAGACGAAAAAAGTATTTCTATAAATAGCACAACCCTTCCAAGTACGCTGAACGCTATCAGCTGCCACATAAACCAGTTTATACCCACGTAAAGCGTCCAGATCATCTCCCCAATTATTCTTCCAAGCATAAAGTTAACCTTGCAAATCTTATATCAACGTATAGTTACTGTGAAAATTATTTCGCTCTCAACTCAAAACATTTCCGAGAAACAAGAATATTTGCTAAAAACTTTAGAAATTCGTCCGCCCGCATACTTATTACCGCTCAAGCCTATTTTGCAACGAATTTAAGTCGTCGGGGCAACGAGCCAGCCAACAGAACGTAAAATTTTATCCGCCATTTTCCCTTTTCAAATTTCGAAGGGGGAATACGAACAATGGATTTTTCGTAACGGAAAAATGTTTAAGGACTGAGATATTATGGGTGGCACAGATAAGGAAAAATAATTAGAAAAATAAGGATGCGATTGTCTTTTGTTACTTTTGATGTGAACGACTTTGTGAAACGCGTGTGGTTTTATAAAGGGACCGCGGGCATTGGGTAAAATGCTAATTATAGCTGCCAGTACAAATGTTATTAAGTAACAAGGGATATACATATAATTTATACATATTTCAAATGCTTGTTTTTGATGGAGTACCATTTATTCGTTTATTCTCACTAACATGAGATTTCATCATACTTTACAATGTACGATCAGAGCGAGTTGGAGTTTCGCCTCGTAGCTGGTGGTACCCTTCGTTACTCCCAAGAGTACCAAGTGATGAACGTTGTCGACTACGTGAATAAAAGAGTTATACTGTATTAAGTATACCTAAATGCCTAATATGTTAACACTAGTTGGCCTGGTAAAATCTATGTTTTGTTGTAATGTGGTTGTAATTTTAAGTTGACATATTTAACTGTACACTGAGCGAGTTCACAAGGACCACTTACTGTGTAGTATGTAAGGAAATATAATTTGTAATTTAAAGTTAAATAAGTTTATAGGAACTAAATTTATTATAGGTAGTTATGTTGTTTATTATAAGTTTAGGGTCAATAGTTTAAGAAACATATTTTAATTTTTAAGTTACTATGTCGAATTAGGTTAAGTTACCTGTAATGGCAAAGTAATATGTAGAAATAAATAAATAAATTAATTAATTAATTTTATTGCAATCAGTTAAGGTTTTTTATTAGACAATCAATCAAATTACTTCTACTCCCTCCTTGAGTGGAGAAAGAGTGTCCGATTCTTACGGACTGAAATCCACTCCGTTCCTTCTCCTGTTCCAGGTCGTTATCTCGTCTTTTATTCCAAACTATATTCTATCTCTATGTAAAATTTTATTCAAATCTTTGATGATAATAAAGTAACAATATTTGATCCATTTATCCATGCTTGCAAACTTTCTTATCTATTTATATAAAAACGGATCGCAAAATGTGTTGGTAAGCGCATAACTCGACAATGCCTGGATCAATTTAGGCAATTCTTTTTTTGTTGTATTTCTTTTAGTCAGTAAGCTTTAAGCTGAAATTAAATAAATAAATAATTAATTTCTCTTTAATCTTTAAATATTGACAAATAATATAAACAGCATTAAATAATTGCAAACTGAAATCCTGAATGCATTCGACTTTACTAAGTAATTTACAATCGCAAATGTAACAAGGTAAACGTACATACTTACTTATCGAAATTGCAGACATTTTCGGGAAAACGAATTAATTGAATTTCGTAGAAAACCGCGATTTCCAAAAGTTGAGGGTGTACAAGAATTTTGCTCGTATAAAATAATTTTTCCACTCTTATAAAGTTTAATATTGATTGCATTAAATTTCTGGTTTGTAATTATCATTATATTCGTTTGTTTTCTATTTGACAAAAAAGATACTTAAAGTTGAATAAGTGTACAGCCTTACTTCCTGAGTCAGAATAAAAAACCTGTGTCATTGTCCCTGTCCCGGGCTGATTTATGAATGTAAATAATATAATATAATAATAATAATTCATTAAAATCGGTCAAGCAGTTTAGGAGAAGTTCAATTACATACACAAGTACAGAATTGTTATTAAATAAACATATGTATAGTAGATACAACAGATTTCCACGCGGGCGGTCTTTAATAAAATACCCCAAACTATTAGAGAACTTCTATTAAGATTGTAGTTAAAATAAAGCAGTGGTTGACACAAATATTTTATAATACAATTAAGAATTTTTTAGAAAACAAGTATTTTAGAATTTATCTCAATAATAACATAAAAACTTCAAATATTTAATAATTATTTTTATTTTGCAATTTTGTTATAAATAATAAAATACCTGCCCAAATATGACTAAATTATTGTATGCGCAAACAGTCTGATTGTTGTACTATATACTATTATATATAACACTTGTAACCAACACAATCTACATAATAAATATTACTTTACTGGGCAATCACTCTTGGCGCCTCCAGAACCTAGCACTCTAGACACTGGCCTAGGTTGTCTAAGGAATGCTACGGTTCTGTTTACTACGGGCAGTGTCAGTCTAAGGGATGTATGTTTTGTATTTAAAATGTGAACATTCTTTTAATATACAATATAAAAAGTATGTTCACATTTGTGATTTACTATATAACTATCGTTAGACATACCTATCCCCAAAAGGCCGGCAACGCACTCGTTACTCATTTGGTGTTGCAGGTGTCCATGAGCGGCGCCGATTGCTTACCATCAGGTAATACGCCTGCTCGTTTACCGAATTATACCATAAAAAAATACAAGATTTATGGAAAATAACGACTTACTCAAGTGATTTGCAGATTCAGACTATACTAGTATAGATTGCCATGGCGGCGATGTCGAAGCAACATTAACAGAGAAACCGCCTGCCAAGCTGAAAGATTATGGCAAACCCCCTAAGGTAAGGCCTCAGTTCAGCAGTAAACGTGTTCTGGCTAATAAGGATGATGAATGAGTATCAGTACGTTGACGACATAGCTTAGGTCACCGATGGACAGCGTAAACTTCGAATTTGCAATACTTTTCGGTAACAATGAAAGTCAGTGAAAAGATCAATGTAAGTTTTATTCATATATGAACAAAATGTCTAAAAAAATAGAACATGATATTATTAGTTTTAAACATATTTAAATGCAAATTTAAACCCACAGGAATAAAAATGTTTTTCCAGTATTTGTATTTTCATCTAAACTCTTTTCGATTGGTATGCCAGCGGCTAGCTATCGTAACGGCAGCTTGTGAATTGGCTTTACAACAGAAATGCATTTAGCACATACTAACTGAGTGCAAACCGAGTGAGACCTGACCGATATAGTCTGAGTGCCAGGCTAATCTAATGATTCAGCAATAATAGTTGGTTTTTATCAAAAAATAGAAACAGTTTTCTGGATAAAAAATGTTTTTTTTTTTTTGTGGGATTAGTCAGGCAACTACCGATGGTGAACTATCGGCGATGTCTTCGGAAATTCTTAGCACCAAAGAGTTATAAAAAGTGAGAATATAACTTTTTGGGCATTAAAAAATTGGGTGTTTTTAGGGATTTTGAGATTTGGATATTGGAGACTTTGCGGAGATTTTGGCCCCACTTTACCTTATTCACAAGGTATACATCCTTTTAGTATTGATTGATGTGGGTAGATCGTATGTAACAATTAGGAAGTTATTTGAGTGTGTGTATAAATTCAGTCAAAGTTACATACATAACGTTAATATATACTATATACTTATAAATTATGTATACATACGTACATATATATACAAATGTAATATATGTGATACATATACACAATTTATCGTTCTATAGTACACGTTCAAAATCGATTTTATCATCCCCTCTCTAGTATCTACATCTATGAATAATAGTGAACTCAATTTAAATTTAAATAAAGAACACAAGAACAAGAATCCTCACATAACAAACGATAGAACAACACAATCAGTCGCGTCGTAAACCATCGTCAATCAGTGAGTGACTGAGACTAATAGTGGGTTCCGTCGAATTAATCGGCAAAGACGCACTTTCAGACATTGTCTGCTGCTCTGATAATATTTAATGGTACACCGTAACATCAATCGAAGTATGCTCCGATGAACTCTCAAGAAACGGACATTAGAATAAATATCCTTATTCAGGTTCAATGACCCTTTTTAAATTATGTTTTAGTTACTGTTAAGGTACTTTGGGATTTTAAAACAAGAATTATTTTAATGAATAGGTATAATTACTGGGTATGGAAAATGTAAATCTACTAATAAACTATTAAATATTGAAAGTCTTTTGATGATAAAATACGAGTATTTTTTGTATAGGTAGGTATAATTATTTACATATACGTTAGTACTCAAGTCGTGATGGGCCGGAAGTCCTGGGCACCGGCTTCTCATGCATGACACAATGTGACTTTTTCTGAGTTTTATTGTTCTTTCTATGATTATTATTTATCATCATGAATAAACCTGGATTTATAAACAATAATTTTAATTTTGGAATCGCCAATCCGCCTTGAGCAAGCTTGGGGATTAATGCACAAACCTTCTTCGTGTGAGAAGAGGCCTTTGCTCAGCAGTGGGCACATATAGGCAGATGATGTGACTTTAGTAGGTACGTTTTTAATTTTATAAACATGTTAATCTTAAATATGCTGGCCTTTCAATATTCATAAGCTACTACACAGTATTCAATATCCACAACTATCAAACACACAAACAGATCTAATAATAATATATTCGTCACTCAGGCATAACATCAAGCTACCCATCACACTTTAATTACGTAAGATATATGCTGCTGGTTGACCTACTTTTTATAAACAATGAAACAATGAATTTATTTTTGCAAATAGGCCATAAAACGACACTTTTACACGTCAATTTATATGTGAAAAACTAGATGAAGCCATAAGCCGGCTTAGTAAAAGAACATCAATTTACAACATTTCAACTTAATCGCAGAACTGATTCTGTTGATTTTTGAAGAGTTCCCTAGAAGAATCTATTATTCCGATAGGGCTTTAACCATATCTTTTTGAGACCACACTTTATTCTTATGTTATGCTATTATGCGTTAACATACATAAACAGGACAACCGAATACATAAAAAGTTATGTAGTCCTTTAAAAATATGAAGGAAGAAAATAGCTTATATGTGTTTGATTAAATAGATAAATTTTGTAAGTCGAATAAGGTTCAATTCTTCTTCAAATAATTAATCAAACTCAATATTTGAAATCTTGATTTAGTTTGGTTTATCATCATTTCAGCTTTACCTACTGCCGCTGCTGGAGTATAATATTTAATGAAGAATGGCTTACCCACAAAATTAATCCCCCACCCAATTTAAAAGTAGGAGAGCCATTCGCGAATGGGAATGACACTAAGGTCTCAAGATAGAGTTGAGTCGAAAGAAGTTATCGGAGGCTCAATCCTTCCTTTTCCCTGTGCTCAAAGCCCAAATTCCCTTTCTTAGTTTCCTAATACCGGTGTCCGTTTGCCGACCTATGTCATAAAATTAATTGTCATATTATTATATCTATACCATATTTGAGTATCAAATCCAATACCTACCCACAATAATCTCCACACGTATAATCCATTCAACCAGAGCTACGCAACACCAACAATTAATTCTAAACACAATATCAATACGATTCTAAATAAACACCCAAACATAGGCTACGCCACATGAATGCCATTGAATGCCGTACAGAGTTATTATAAAGCGCCCCCACTATTCAATCGTCTATAATTTGCTAAATGAAATCCCTTGAGGCGTTAACTATACCGCTGAATTTGCGAAACCCAGCGAACAGGCACTATAATGTATGTCGGACGTGTGATAAGGAATTTTGCTGGCGTATAGATTCTGGAAGAATTGGCTACATTTTCGGTGGCCCTGAATTTAATAAAGGGTTGGGTTAAATTAAGATGATGAATTTGTTTTATGCGGACGTAGGTCGAATGCTTTTGTTGTCTTCGGTAAGTTATTTTGGTCAAAATGTAGCTATACCTACTGGCTGTACAGTTGGTGCAGTGACTGGGCAACTGACCCCTGAGCAACGTATCACGGATACGCTTCATGCATCGAACAATTCTTTCAGATTTTTTTAATCTTACCTTATCGTAAGACATACTTAATTTATTGAAAATAACAACTTATTCATGTCATTAAACTAAGAAAAGCTCAGCTAGTTTCAAGTCACAACGGGACCCTTGGCTTATTCATGAATAAGCTTTTCTCAGTTTGTGTAAGTCGTAGTTTTCAATGAAATAATTCTTTCTTTGATTCAATATTCACATAGAGACTGAACTCTTCTTCTGTGTCTGTTTCGGTATTTCTCCTCAAAGTAGTCAGTAGTAGAATTAGCAATGGCTTAAGTCATCATTCAAGTGTGGGAGAGCCATGCTTCGGCACGAATGGGTCGGCTCCGGAGTGATAGCAAGGCCTCACAGAAAACCGGCGTGAAATAGCTACAGCGTTGGGTTTCGACGTGTGAGTGAGGTTATCGGAGGCCCAATGCTTACCCTCCCCAATCTCAAAATCTCCAAAGCCCTAATCCCCAAAAGGTCGGCACCGCGCTCGTAACTCTTGCGTTGTTACGGGTGGCGCTGATTGCCTTCCATCAGGTAATCCGTTTGCTTGTTTGCCGACCTATAAATGTCTCTGAGTACAGCTCGAAACATCGTTTACATTTGATACATGTTAACACGGAATTAAATACCGCGTCAATCCTTCTTAGTTCCCATTCCCAACGGAATTAGATCAATGCCTGTTATAAATCAATTCAGTATCGAAATTCATTTACTGTCTGATTGGATATTGTACTGTTTGACATTAATGACGTTTTGTCTGTCTGTGAAATAATTACGATAAATCACAATTTAATTGTACTTTCACATTATACACCTATACAAACATAATTCCACTTATTACAAAACTAGATTTATTTTAAGTTAGGTTAGGTTTAGAATTTTGAATCTTATTGTCACCTACCTTCAATTGGAAATACAAAAACTAGCTCAATGATTTAGTCCTTTTATACCTGGTTTTGTAATAAAAACGACAATGTAGGTATACATGTACTGTGTACTATTTTTTCTCTGGCTATACCTATAAACTAAGCTTTTGAAATATTATGGTATTTTGTGAAAATTTCACAGAATACAAAAATTACAAAAAAAAGTTGAGTGGCCGTCATACATTGGCTATATGTATACTAGGGTGAGCTTGTCAATATATTTTGGCAAAGCATCAAGCTTTTATTCTGACCGGAGTAATCAGGGATGTACAGATAAAATTATTCACACTTTTGCCAAACTTTTAAGTATGGGAGAGCCGTGGTTCGTCATGGATGGGTCCAACGAAGTGGTATTGCAGGCCCACAGAAAAAACGGTAACGTTATTTCAGCGTGTAAGTCTTGTCGGAAGCATAGTACCCCAATCTCCGAATCAAATCTGTCACTCCAAAATCTCAACAAAGTACGTAGGACTCCTGTAGTGTTGCGATTGTTAATAAGCAGACAGTCTGTCTACTCATTTGGTCAAATCACATGATATAAAACTTTGTAACTAGTGTAAGGACGGCTTTATTGAAAAGACGTTGATTCTGCGATAATACATTTATTACTGTCCGATAACTATTGAGCACATTCCTTATAATTCTTACACTTACAACTACGTCACACGAGTCCCATATAACAAATATTAAATAAAATAACGTAAAGAGAGTTATAATATGACAAAACTCCCGCTGCCCACATGAAGTTGATAAACGTATGGAATAACGAACCCGAGTGCATATCATTATAAAAGTTAAAACGTTGGAGTTTCATTGCATTATAACTTTGCGAGACGAAAGGCTGGCCGTGGCCGTCCAATTTCATCCAAACATTCATAATTTAAT